ATTTTAGTTTTGTTTTGATGCTTTTTAGCATCTGGACCATTAATTTTATAAATAATAAAATACAAATTAAATAGTTATTAGAACAAACTTCTGAGACATTTTTCATGGTTTTAGTTAAACATTTATTAATCAGTTCCTGTCCTCTAATCCTAACAGGGTTTGTTCATGTTTAATGGATCTTTGTTGCCTCTGGTCTTAATGACAGATTCTGCTGTATTTATGTTATTTATTAGTTTCTGTTTGTTTAATTGTTCTAATTATAAAAAGGAAATCAGTTGTTGTCAACATAAACCTTCATTTCAGTCTGAATGTCCTGAGGAAAACCTTCAGTTTGACTTGAGAAACAGACTCTTTGTTTTTATAGAAGCTTGAATTTTGACCTAAATGTTTAAAAAAAGAAAAAGTTTTTGATGTTTTTCTTTTTTACGTGAGCAGAATGAGCCGACGTCCCGCTGCTCCTGTCTGTCTGTGGAAATGTTCTGTATCTGCTGCTTGTTGTGTTTAATATATTTATTACCTCTGCATATTTATACGGCTCTGTGTAACACTTTGTTCTGATGAAAACTACACATCTGGAACGTTTCGGAACAATCAACTAAAGATAAAAAGTTTCATCAGTGAAGACGAGTTCTGATCTGAGTCCAAACAATAAATGCACCGTCGTGTCTCACGGGTCACTGTTCACCCGAAGAGTTTCACCCAATTTAACACAAAACATAAAAACCATGTAAATAACCTGGAAAAATACACTGAAATTAAACTAAGAAAATAACTTATTTAGTGTTAACTTTTTATTCAACGTTAAACTTTTCATAAAGATCACTTTGTGTTTCACTGCACTAAATATTTGTAATGTTTTTGGAATTTAAAACACTGTGAAATTTTAATTGGCTTCATTTTAATTTAACAAACAGAGAAAAGTAGAAAATGTCAACATTTACAGTCAGAAAATAAAATTTGCACTGAAAAAACAGATTGTTTAATTCAAATAATGTCTGACTGGAGAAACTTTTCTCAACAGATTGTACAAATAAACTGATCTAAATTAAAATAAAATATTAATGTTTTCCTTCTGTTTGTGTCGTTTTTATCCTGGTTTTATTTGTCATTGTACAGCGCACAACATTTAGTTTAAAGACAACCCATCCTAGAGACAAAAACACAAACCACACACCTGGGGGACAGGTGCACAGGGCTGCAGCCATGGGAAGGCTCCGCCCCTCCATTAAAAAAAGAATAATAGTGAACATGAGGGGAGATGAGGGATAAAAAATGTGTCCCTGCAATGAGTTTACCTGTTAGCAGGACCGCCTCCTTCCACCTGTGGAAACTCACTGAAATTAGAAACATCTCGTCTAAAAATGATGCAGATCAGCTGGGGAGCGTGTGTGTGTGTGTGTGTGTGTGTGTGTGTGTGTGTGTGTGTG